AAATCATATGCACTGATAATTGGAAATCTTTGTTTTAACATTTGATTTTTAAAGGATTCCTTACTGTAACTGAGCCTTAAATCATTTGCCACAGTTGTAATTCCAATGTAGCTGCTCACTTAAATCGAGAGTTCATACCATAATGTAGACTTGGTTAAATACAGCTATAGCTACAGCTGAACAAGCAGGTCTGTGTGAAAGAGGAATAACTGCAGGTAATAAGATTATTACCCACCAGCTTCACTATTCTTCATTTGCTACTGCTGTCACAGCTAGACTAGCCCTGCCCTCACCCATCACAAGGACCACGGCAAACAAATTATTTTATGAGGAAAAAAAACCCAGGGCTTTTTGATCTGGAAATATTGATGCCTCTGATGCCTTTTCTGTTATAGTGAATTTGTTTATTTGTTTGTTTGTTTTGCTGCCTGTCTCACTCTGAAAAGTGCCTCTAGGTGGCTTACAATTAAATGACAAGCCATTAGCAAAATCTAGCAAAGATCCAAAAAGGGATGGCCCATTTCTAACTGTAAATAACCAGAGGTCTATGACAATTCACCATGGCCAACCTGACATAGCCATCTTGCCACGGTCAACTTGTTGCAGCAACTCACTGCAGGACAGCTTGCCGTGGGACAAGAGTTACACTAATATCAAAGAAATGGTGGAATAAAATAATTAAAGAACGGATGCAAAAAGAGGGACAGAATGACACGTCAATGACAAAAATTAAAATATTTTTTTATTTATTTTAAATAATTAAATTGAATTGTTAAATTGTCCTGTGGCAAGATGTCCTGCAGTGAGTTGGCTGTGGCAAGTTGTCCTGTGGCTAGTTGGCTGCAACGAGTTGTCCCATTCTGAATAGCCATTCCTGGCAGTGGTATCTGTAAGAAGCTACAGTAATGCCAAAATGACACATGCATGTAGTTTAAAAATGCCATGACTATGTACTTGTCAAAAATGTCCGATAGAAGTATGAAGATTGCAGCATTTCTCTGATTTACATCATCGGGTGTATGCTGTCATTTCCTTGCTTCCCTTTCCCCTCTGGATGCCTATGTTTTCTAGTAAATCTGGTATATCATCAAGCATTTTTTTTTAATCTGTCAAATCCTGTTTTTGTAAGAAGCCTAAGCATTATATTCCTCTACTCATTAAATGGTGAAAGCGTACAGACCTCCCTTTCAATCTTACTTGCCATGAAAGGGTAGTCCTCACTTAACAACCATTCAAAGTTATGATGGACACCCCCCCAAAGTTAATTATAATCTGTCCACAAAGTTATGGCTTCTACACACCTCTGCCCCCGATTGAATTTTTGATGCTGGACAACCAGCTTGCATTTACGGTTTGTTGTAGTGTCCCATGGTCATTTGTACTTTTTTGCTGGTTTCCAGCAAAAACACCCATTAAGAAAAATGAATTTGCCTAAAGATTAGATGGTAATGCTTAACTGTGGTGACTTGCTTTACAACTATCATAAAAACAGTTGTAAGATTAGTCTGGTCATATGTGACTTGCATAACAACCACAATGACATGACCAAAATTCTGTATTCAATTCTGGTCGTTAAGTGAGGACTATTTTTAATCTTCTAAGTAAAGTTTAGAAAACTGAGACCTCATTGTACAGTATAAAGTCAGCATTGACTGAGTAGATGTCTTTCAGAAGGTGTTTCCATTATTGGAAACTAACAACTCAGCCTGCATTGTTTTCCTTCTTCCTATCCATTCATTTTATGTATGTGTCATTTCTTCTAGATTTTAAGCCTTAAGACCCCTTAATCATTCCTGGCAAGGGAGAAAGAAAATCAGGAGTCATTTTATACCATTTTATACTCTCTTTCTGGAGTACAGTGGACAGCCACCTGAGCAAACTATCCCGGAATACTATAGAAAACACATGAACCTCTATGAATTGAAAAGACTCAAGAGTTGACCTGAAAGAAAGAGGTGTTTTGTGGTGGTCATTGATTTCCTCCTAAGATGAGCTGAAACAGCTACATCCAGACATAAAATAGCTGCCCAGAATTGCTATGATGTGATAGGTTGTCATACAAACCTAACTGAATTAATTAAATAAATGCTATATGAATAGCCTTCTATATGCCCATATGAGAATGCAATGAAGAAATTACCAAATTGGAGTACCGGCAATGTTTTCATCAATCAGTTTCTTTTCATCACTCAATTTCAATTGAAGGTCATGGGACAAGAAGAGAAAACAGGATTCTGGAAGTCAACAAATGGCTATGCAAACAGAAGGGTTGAATTCTATGACAGTAGCCTGTGCAACCCTCATGAAGGACTTCTGGAGATTGATGGATAATTTACAAGAACTGGGAAGTGTTTTGCCGGTGTTTTGAACACTCTAATCAGGAAGGCATTAAACAAAAACAAAAGTGAACTGGGGTGATAAAAGTCTAGAATTGAATATCTAACCAAGGACAGGGTCAAAAAAGCAAAACATAAAATGAAAAGCAGGATGCTGGGAGCTTCTTAGAACAAGACTGCAGAGATACTAGTAAATGGTACTCAAAGCCTCTTATATTTTAGCATCAATGTAAAAAATATGGGAATAAAAAGGGAAAACCAGAGTTCTTAATTCAGGAAGACAAATGTAATGAGATAAGCATCACTGAAACTTGCTGAGATGATACTCATGATTGGCATATAGTTCTGGAAGTACACAAATAGGAAGTAAAAGAAGAGAACCAAAGAAAATAGAAGATGGTGTCCAAAAACTGTACTAATTCTACCACAAAAGCTAACATAGTCAGAATGAGCTGAGGCTTGCAAGAGATACCAAATCCAACAAACAGAGCATTCTTTGGTTATGTTATAAAGTGTGGTCCATTGCTAAGAGAAATGTGTGGATGATGGCAAGCAGAACTTCCTAAATCCCATTCCTTCTTCAAGAAGGAAAATAGAGCTCTAGGTAGTGATTGTATGCCACTGGGGGAACAAGGAACTACACCTTTGAACACAGAAAGAGAGAATAATAAAGAACTACCTAATGTAAATGAATTTGTCTCCAGAGCCATATGGATTATATTCTGGAGTAGTTAAATAATTAGCAGAATCGATCGTAGAACTATTCTCAGTAATCTTTGAAAACTTCATGTCTATATTGAGCAAAGTCCTTGAACAGATTATCAAGCAATATGTTTGTGAGAGCTTGAATTGGCATGCTACAATTAAACAGGAGTCAATACAGTTTATCAAAATCAATGTCTGACTAATATTACCCCTTTCAGTAGACTTTCTAATACCTCATAGAAAGGCCACAGACATATTATATTTGGACCTCAATAGAACCTTCATTAGCTAGTCATCAGTGAGTAAAACATGAAGTAGATGATATCATTGTTACATGAACTCATAGTTACCTGAATGATTGAACCTAAGGAGTTCTCATTAATAGCATCACTTCAGATGGTAAGTATTGAGTGGCTGTAATTTATATAATGGAAGGTAACAGTTAGAAATATAAAGTTCCGCATCTGGGTAACAAAAATGTAGGACAGAATATGGGATGGAAAGTCAGGAGTACATGTGAAAGTGATCTGGGTGTCCTGGTCAACCAGAAATTAAATGCGAGTGAGAGTGCAATTTAACTGCTAAAAAAGGCAAATGCTATCTTAGGATACAATAATGGAAGCAAAGAGTCCAGGAAGTAACTATTACACAGGATGTAACTGTTCCACTCTACTCTGCCCTGGTCAGAATCTATTTGAAATGCTGCATATGGGTCTGGGCACCAGAGTTTTAAAAAAATGGACAAAATGGAACAAGTTCAGAAAGGAACCACAACAGCAAAGAACCATGAAGAGCAGTTTAAAAAATCTAGATATGTTTTAACCTGCAAAAAAGACAATGAAGGGGTGATATAGCAATTTTCAAACATCTGAAGGACTGTCACACTGGAGTGAACATTCTCTTTTGCCCCAGTCAGTTAAAAATATAAAGAAGGAAACGTACATTACGCATCAGGGGGACCTTTCTGAATGAATGTTCTATCAGCCAGGGGACAGGCTGCCATGTGAGGCAGTGAGTTCTCCTTCACCAAGCCCTCAGAAAGATGGCGGATGTCAGAGATGATCAGATGGCTCCTGCACTAAGTGAAGAATTGGCCTAGAGATTTCTAAAGTCCCTTCAGCTCTATGATTCTGAACAGTGAAATAATATTGGCTGAAACAAAATAGAATACATAGTACTATCTTGTCAGGTTCACAACTAATTTTTTTATAACTTGTGGAAAAATATCTTATTCAGAATTCTCACAATCCACTGCTTCACGCTGATTTTTAAGTGACCTGTAATATATTGTCTTTCAAAAGAAAACAAAAAGCTTTTAGTGCAGCAGTCAAGTGAGTATATTGTCATTTTATATACAACTCAATTTATTTAAATCACTTATTTAAATTACTGCAGCTAGAATGAACAAATAGAATAAAACAACTGGCTTATACGACATTGTTTGGCAACAAAGAGATGCAACAAAAATATTTAAAATGTAAAAAACCCCACATCATTTGTCTATTCAGTGGATTTTAAAAGTGATTTCTTAGTATATATTTATAATACACACTAATATTTTTCTTGATATGATAACATTTATTTCCTTTCAAAATGCCTACACCAAATCAAAGAATATTACATATATCCTAAATATTTTCTGCTATAGTTAAATAAAGGTACATAAAACCCCAGGCATCTATTCGACTTTAATCACTCATGGGCTTGGCTAAAAATTGAAAGGATTCATAACTGAATTTTTACTTATATTTTTACATAACTCAGTTTTTTATTTGTTCAACTACTCCAAGTCATTTAGACAGTGACATAGGCAGTGTATACATTTGATTAGTAAATAATAAATATTCTCTTGATGTCCTTTTGCTCCTCCTCTCTGACCCTAAACTCTCCAGATTTTCCTTTGCTTGCGGTACAGTATAAAAAAAAATCCATAATGAAAAGCTTCTCTCAATTACTGACCTCGACCAATGGTCTTGGTTTGCGCTCTACTGTAAACTTGAAGTGGCAAAGTTCACAGTAATTGGTATTTGAAGATGAGAGCCAGTGTTCCAGGCAGCTACGATGAATAGTCCCCAAGGTTCCAGTACATTCACAAGGAGAAAGCAGGTCTTCTTGACTGCTGCCTTCGTGGCAAATCCTGCACATTGGTCGGTCATTGAAAGGACTGCAAAAAAGAAGAATTAGATTGGTGCAGGAATCCTAAATTGAAGGCACATCAAGGTTATTCGATTATTTCAAGGTTAATTGTACTGTATACAGTTGACCTTAAGAGCCTAATTCATTGCTGTGCATAATCCCTTTCCAACTACCTACAATGTAATCTTATCATAGTAGAAGAATTAATAAGGCAGCACCAATCTTTAAGAACAAGTCATATAAAGAAGCAACCCTTAAATTCTATTAGTTAATGTGATCTGGGCAACATTCATTACTGCTCCCAAATGAGCCACCATGTATGCGGTATATTGTGGAGTGAGTGAGTGAGTAAGACAGAGAGAGAGGAAAAGAGGGAGGGAGGGAGGGAGAGAGAGAGAGAGAAAGATGCTCCTTGATTCTCTAACACATTCGCGCCAATATTGTCTTTCTAATAACAATAACAGCAATCTAGCCAAAATTGGAATAGCCAAAAATTTCTACAACCGAGAAAAGGTCTTTCATCAGTCTATCAAATGTTCTATTTTGTCCCTGTTCCCCACTCCCCTTCCTGAGTTTTCAGTATTCTCTGCATTTTCTTCTCTTTTGCAGCCTCCTTACAATTCCTGTCTGCCATTTCTTCTGGATTATAAACCAGAACCAAATCACAATTTGTAACTTTAGTTTCATTCAGAACTTAAACCAAGTTTTTTTGAATGAAATGTTGTGGGAAATTGCTTTAACACACTCCAGAAGTACTATATTAAGATACAGAGGAGAAATGAAGGTGAAGAGAAAGGACAGACTCAAAAAATTCTCAAACTTTATTAGGGCGCATGACCCCCAGAAATCCAACATAATAAAGAAAACTTGACACATAACTAAACAATCAAAAATATACTTTATCAAACTAAAATTGTTAACATTTGGAATGGGCCAACTTTGGATATAGTGGTTGTGTATTATACTGCTATTTATCACACGGTGCAATCCAAAAGATAAGAAAATCAAAAATATGTGTGATATTTTAGAGATGCAATTGCTTAATTCAGAGGCCCCCAACCCCCGGGCCACAGCATGCCAGCAGCCGGTCTGCACAAACAAGCAAAGCCTCATCCGCAGGATGTAGGCAGCACACAAAACCACACATCCTCCGATCCATGGAAAAACCTCTCTTCATGGAACCGGTCCCTACTGTCCAAAAAGTTGGGGACCTCTGACTTAAATTGAAATAGATCACCACAAAAGAAAATCCTAAGTAAAGATCTCTTGAGAATGAAGCTCTTTTCTTCTATACTGTAACAGTTTTTTCTTGGAAACCTGCTTCTGATTTTAAAGCATAATAGTTAATTGATTAGTTGTAGCTATTCATTCTCACACTTATTTTTCACAATCTCTTTTCTTCCCTCTCTAGAGCACATTTACTGTATATGCATGCTCAAGATTTGTTTGCTTGAACGGATGAAGTATTTTCAATCTATTTTTCATTTCTTCATCCATTGCGATTGGTTTTATTTAAGAAAAATCTATTAAAATTACCAGAAATACCCAAAACAAACATTTCAAGTAAAATCTAATTCTGGCTCCTTTGAAATGGTATTAAATATCCTCTCTGATCTACATGCAGCTTTACTGCTTCTTCAGGTATCACGTGCAGAGTATCCATGTGCATGCTCTAGGCAGAAGTCCTATGGATGTTAGGTTTAATTTGCTGCTCTACGTAGTCACTCTATTTTCTCCTCATGTTAGTTTCACACTATACTTATCATAGTGGGCTGGCTCAACTACTGTATCTCCTTTCTCTTTTTCCAATATGCATGAGTTAGGACATCTCTTTTTCCATGTGGCACCAGTTTCTCTTTGAGAATTTGAGCAAAGTCTTTGCTGGGACAAAGTTATCCTCTCTAGAATTTGGGGATAACAAAGAGAGAACACAATAGGAGGCGCAAAGTTGACAACCGGAAGCAAAAACCTGAGACCAAATATTTGGTGCAGGTGCCCTTCACATCCAAAGGTGAGAAATGAGCAGCACGAAATCTGCTACTACATAAAGACAGGTGAGATTTTACATCTTGGGGCTGCTATAAATAGCAGGCTTGCTTCAAGATTCTGTAACAGCCGATTGTCTCATTATTTCACTTTTGTTTGTAAAAATGATTTTTACAAAAGCCTTTCTTCCATTTTTAGCTTAGGAGTGCTGAGTAAGTTTCTTCAGAGAGATGCACCGTTGTCTCTTGGGTAAAGGTCCGACAGTTCCTGCGTTTAAAGGAAACAGTGTTCTGCCCTTATTTTTGGAGGGCCCCAAAGTATATTTTGTGGAAAGACACCAGAATAATCTCCACTCTTAGGATTCTTCAGTGTTTTTATATATGACGTGATAGGCTGTTTTTCCAGGTCCTTAGGTTCTTGTAAGATCTCCAAAAGAAAATAAAATGGAAGAAGATAGCTATAAGGGATTTATGGTACAATGCACATAGAATGTTAACTTACATAGAATAAACCTATTCCCATTATCACCTGCAATTGTTGTTTAAATTCTTCTCCAGGAAAATAAACTTGGGACTTTATTCCTTAGCCTATTTATTTAAGTTTAAAATTCTTTCTTCCAAGTTAAATTATTAACATTGATTTGAATGAACATAAGTCTTTTATAAGTGAAGACTGGCTTGTTTTGTTCCATTGGCTTTCCTTATAAAATAACTGAAGCATAATATAATTGATTTGACCCTCCCTATAGCAATCAAACTGTGATATTTCTGTTTCAATGTATTTATTCTTTCCTTAAACATGATCGTAGGTATATCGCAATGGCTGGTTTATTCATAATCTCAAAATTATTCAAATTAATATTTACAATTTGATACTGTACCACTTATCTTAATACTTTCATTTTTAGGCAGTATGATACAGAATTGCTTTCCCTAATGTGGGAATCCAGGCATAGCATTATACAAGTATCTAGAAGGAGACCAAGCTGGGAAGAGATAGTATTCTTGATGAAGCATTAGGATTAGAAGCTTAATATTCCTCTCAACTATGTATTAGAGTGTCCTTCCTTTAAATCTCTGCCCCTCAGCCCTAACTTATCTCACAGAGCAGTTCTGACAGGATTGAACAGAATCCTACGTGTGCTGCTTTTTAAGAAAAAGAAGAAACCAACACAAAAACAAATCCACAAATTTCAGAAACTGACTGTTAGAAAAAGTGTTTATTCTAAGACAGATCTATCATGGTAACCTGCAATTGAAACTTTAGTTTTTTACATAAGTGACTTAAACTTTCTGCAGAAACTTCCAATAATCTGTTTTGTAAAGAAAAAGCACATCAAAAATGTTATGTGTATTTTATTAACATAGTTTACATCACATGTATGAATATACAACTGTGCTAAGGTAGGAAAAGGAATACCTTTTTCTAACAATCCAAAATGGTTTTCCAGTATTAATCTTTGGTCGAATTGGCTAATTGTATGACAGGCAATATATATACCATGATGCATTTAACAATTACTGTTTGTGAGAGAGTATCTATGCATTAAAGTTAACTTAAAGAATAAAGACCTATTAATGACTCAACAACATTCAGGGAAAATAAATAAGCCAGTTTCCCCCAATCTGGAATCTTTCAGATGTACTGTATTACAATGCCCATCAGTCCCTGCCAGCATTCACCCCCCCATAAGTTAACAGTAATATGACTTCCAACTGTCAGACGTATTCATGAAGCACATTTGAGAAAAACCATGCAGCCAGTGATTATTGTGTCAAATAGTTAGGAGGCTCCCTGGCTGTAGAAATATAAGCCAGACATGAAAGAGTGAAAAAAAAAATAAGAAGAAGCAGCTCCATAACACTCTGACACTGGATGAGAGAAAACCTAAAAAATCTTCTTCTATCAATCATTCATACAGAAGCACATAGTTTGCAATGAGCAGCATGCACAAGTCAGCAGGATGTTACTTCTAAAGTTTTCTTTTCCAAATCGGAAGGATTTATTGCATCTTATTCACTTTACAGCCCGTATCTCCTAGCTATTTCCCCACCTTTTCCTGCACCGAACGAAAACGAGCAAGTTTTACACATTAGAGATATTCACAAAGTTATTGCCAGCTTACAAAATTCATTCTGAATTCAAAAGAGGAACGCTTTAAGAGTGCAAGTTGTGTGTTGAATCTGCTCAGAGTGCCTCACAGAAACAGGAGCATGCAGAAGAGTAGCCTTTAATCTAACCATGACAAAAACAGACAGTGCTTAGTCTGGCCTTAAAAATAAAGTCCCAAGTAGAACTACAGGAGCTCAGATCTCGCAACCACATCCCCTCCATTCTTTGCCCTTACTCCTCCAGCACTGCTGAATAGGCAACCAGACATGTCTTGGGTTTGCTACAACTAACTGACCGTACCTCTGAGTGGCAAGAGTCCGTACTACAGTTGATAGCAGCTGTCCGTCCTTGGCTGAAACTTGCATGACATACTGCGGCTGTCCATTCACAAGGCTGCTACAGTCCTCCACAGTCTTTACCACAGGAGTGGCTGGGCTGGTGCAGTCTGGTAAGACTTCGGGCAGGTGACTGCAGCGGCTGGTTGTCATGGTAACAGACAGCAATTACTCTGCTAATGGCTTCCACATTCATACAGGATTTCCATCTAGGAAAAAAGATTAGAAAACCATTTACTGAAGAGCAGGCTGCAAAGACTAAATACAGACCACCTGCATCTTTATTCATTAATATTCAACAGAACTCAAAACAGCATCATTTCTTGTTATAGTTTTTTTTTTGGTAAAGCACAAAAGGGGAAAAGCAAAGATTGATAACAATGCAAGAGCACCGCGATGTACAACGCTGCCTTATTGATTCTCTAGGAAAATGAGTGATTTTTTTTCTCTCTTTAGGAAAAAAAAAAAACTCATGTTCTTACTATTGGCGGGGGATGGGCAGCTTTCAAATGTGGGCTTGAGAAATCGTATCTCTATGAAGCAAGCGTATGTGTTTATTTCTTTATGTTTCTCCACAATCATCAGCGTCTTAATAATAAATGGAAAGTCTCTTTTCACTGCTTCCCCTTCCTCTCCCCCACTTGTCTATCACCACAAAATACTTCTTGCTTGTTGCACAGGGCAAAACAGATTTTTGCTTTTGATCTCGTCAATTCTACACAAGACTCTCCTCAAAAAGTTATGCCTTTCATGAGAAAGAGGACTAGAAACTTACAATCTCTCTCTGGAAACCATCCATTATTGCTAAGTACATTACATCATCAAGCAATGGAGCAAAACACCAAAATTAACGTTTAACGAGGGAAGGGATGTTGACCACCTCAAAGTAGCCTGCATGCATATATGCTGCAAGTTAAAAGTGAGGAGAGAGGGGGAAAAAAACCAGTTGTGTATGGAATCAGCTTTTACACATAAACAAGCTCCCAGAAGAATATGTAAACTAATTTATCAAGAAAATTCTACTCTCACTCTCAGTCAAGGTATTAGTGAGGGTGTTACAGTTTCTCAAGATCTTAACAGAGCTAAGTATAAGACAAGAATTGTGCTTATTACTATTTGCGCAAACAGTGAAAATACCCAGGGGTATTCTTATTTTTTTATTATTCAATAATTTCATTTGTTTTAAAAATGGTACATGTCACAGCCAGCCATATGTGGCAGTCAGTATAAAATGGAACAGTTTTCGGAGTCTTCCTTCACAGATCAATGCAATATCTTACTGTAATAGTTCCCAAAATATAAAAAAGAAAGTTGAATGAGGTGGTGGGGAGGGCAAAAGCAGTCTTTTTTTGGGGGAGGGACTTTGGTAAAAATGTGACCTTCTATGATCAAATGCACATGCAGTCTAATAATTCATCATTGATCTTCTATTCTGAACATACCAGATTCCAGTGCTCTTCATTACAGTGAGTGCACACATGATTTTTAGGAATCTGTTTGGAATAAAGTTTATTGGGCCTGACAAAGCATCAAAAAAGAAAATTTGGATTTGCTCACCCCTTTCATTCTCTCAATTCTCCCTTCTCTGACTCCTGATGAGAAGTAGTAAAAAGATACGAAATTTGAACTGGTACATTTTGGTCATCTCACTTTATTAGTTTGATGTAATTGGCTGAATTATCAAATATAAATGCACAAGGGGACTGGCACACACCCAAAGTACATTTAAAGCCATGATACAGCACCTTACACATTAATACTATTGTTTTTTAAAAAAATCTGTGTAAAAGCATGGAAAGATTGAGATCAGCCTTGGATTAGCTTTGTTTGATCATTGGAGCCACAGTCATTTATTGGACACGCCAATACTTTCTGAAACATTAGTGGAGGCAAGAAAATTATTCATAATGTCTATATATATAAAACATGAATGATGGCTCGGCTGTTTGCATGCTTACAAAATATTAAAGAAAATAATGTTTGAGAACACTACCCTTCTTTTAGTGGCTGTTTTAACCTTGAAGAAAGTGGATATTCTCCAGGGAATCTGAATGCTACCAAGGTACTATTATGTGGTAGTGCCAATGCTCTGAGGACAAGGAAGAAAAACAAATCCTGATACTCAATTGCAATAAAATAGAACAAATAACAAATTTTGATACCATTAATACTAAAGGGAATGCAGAAGAATGCAGACTTAACAGAAAAGTCTCATCTTTTACAGCATATGGACATGGATTATGAGCTACATTTTAGTTTTGAAATACATGCTGAGACTGTTCAGCGATCGTATGCAGCAGCACAGTAGCTGCCTCATTAAACTTAAATAGCCTAGACAGTGCTGTGCTTACAGATCCATGCTATAGAATTCTACATTTTCTTGCTTGCTGACCTCATTATGTACAGCAGCAAGATTATAATTCTGCAGAAAGTGACCATCCGTGCTTTTACAAAGATTTCCGTCAATCAATTAGGAGTGTTTCTTAACCACCAAATGATTCAGCTTACCCAACTCTCTTACAGTGGCTGCTAATTAAAAATAATAAAAGTTACACTGGTTCCGAGCAGCCCACCCAGCATGCCACATTTAAAGATATTTGTAGCATATTAAAAATAGTTAAAACATTTTAAAATTGTCCTTTATCCTATTATAGATGTAGAAGATTTGAGGGAACTAGAAAAGAAGCACAGGGGAAGAGATTGGCTGCTGAAAAAGTTCATGGATGACATGACATTTCAAACTAGATCAACACCGGAACTCTGATTGGGTTAACAATCCTTCTTCTCCTTCTTCTTTCCTCTCTTAGGTCAACCAAGCGAGAATGGTAAAATGAGTACCAGTCTCAAACTTTAAAAAAAAAAAATCAGCAATGACAGAAATTCTATGATGTAATTCTCTGCAACCAAAACAACTGATTAGATTGTTTCTCAGTATTCTCTCCAAACACAGTGCCTCCATGCAATACACATCTGACAATGGTATAGGTGATAAACTGCATATGTTTAATTCTGAGATAAATATCAAAAATTGTTCTGAAAAGACCTATTGACCAAGGCATCAACGTATACAAAACAAAACAAAAACAAAACAAAAAACAGTTATTTGTTATAACTGTTTTAAAATTAAACATATGGAAATTGCTTATTGGGATCAAATACATGATCAAATAGCATTGTAATTCAGAATTCCTAAAACATACAATTGAAAGTACAGGTTTTTCTTTTAAAGTTTGATGGATAAGCAGTTGGAGAAAAAACTTTCTAAATATAACAGAAATATTATTTATTACATATTACATATCAGTGCAATAAGGATTAACATATATATTTGTATGCACAGTAAAATGTGCATATGCACAATTGCACAGATATGCAAAAACGTAGATTCCCACAGCAGAAAAATGGATAGCAAAGTTAATGAACTGGCAAAATGAACTATCTTGATTAAAGAAAAGATTTTGTCTTTGTTTCTACATGGAAACCACTTTTGGACTAGTAATGCTATAATGCTGTAATAATTTTGATATTTGATTATTAGAAATGTTTATGATTATAGGAACATTCTGTATTATTGAATTTTAAATAAAAAGGTTTTAATTCAATTGTTGCTTGGTTTGATTTTGTTTGTTTTTCTTCCTCCTATGACTTGGATTTAGTTTATTTTACTAAACTGGGCAGCCAGATTCCATCAGTTTTGATCCCTCACTTTTTTTACAACTACAGAATACAGAATAACAGAGTTGGAAGGGACCTTAGAGGTCACCTAGTCCAACCCCCTGCTCATGCAGGAAACCCTATACCATTTCAGACAAATGGCTGTCCAGTCTCTTCTTAAAAACTTGCAGTGTTGGAGCATTCACAACTTCTGGAGGCAGGTTGTTCCACTGATTAATTGTTCTAATTGTCAGGAAATTTCTTCTTAGTTCTAGGTTGCTTCTCTCCTTGATTAGTTTCCACCTCTTGTCCTGCCTTCAGGTGCTTTGGAGAATAGGTTGACTCCGTTTTTTTGTGGCAACTTAGATACTGGAACACTGCTATCATGTCACCTCTAGTCCTTCTTTTCATTAAACTAGACATAATTCCAGCAACCGTTCTTTATATGTTTTAGCCTCCAGTCCCCTAATCATCTTTGTTGCTCTTCTCTGTACTCTTTCCAGAGTCTCAACATCTTTTTTATAATATGGTGACCAAAACTGGATGCAGTATTTCAAGTGTGGTTTCACCAAAGAATATAAAGTGTTATTAAGACTTCATGTGATTTTGATTCTATCCCTCTGTTAATGTAGCCTTTGGCTTTGGCTTTTTTGGCAGCTGCAGCACAGTGTTGGCTCATATTTAAGTGGGACTCCAAGATCCCTCTCACTATATAGCCTTTCAGCACAATGGCATTGTTTCCTTTAAAAACATGTTGAAGGGTCCTAAAAACATGATTTTTGTTGTTAAATTAAGGTAGTCTTTAAATAATTATGTAATTGGTTAATAGGGAGTATCCCAACTCTTTATTTTGAGTTCTTGCAGTATTTAATAATTAATATCTCTAACTTATAAACAAAAATATAAAAAGTGGTTTTAGAATCCTCCCAAACGCATATAATATTAACAGTAATTCAGGAGTTTTAGATGCTGCTGGTGCAAACTACACCAAATGTATGAAATCCTTTATTTATTAATGGCTTCATTCTGTTGCAGAATTATGCCATATAAATGACTAACTAGACTGTAAAATTGGCTCTTTCAAAGCAAAAAAAGTTAATATAATTTCTCCACCAAAAATACAAATTTTCAAATTTCCAGATATCCTGCAAGTTTAAATGTATTACTTTGTATAATTCATTTTCATTCTGCTAACCACAACAAAGGACAGACAGCAATGTACAACAGATAATATATATTCAGCTCAGTCTCATTTCAGAAATCTAAATTCATAGTACTTCCAAACCAGATTTCAAGACTCTCACCGTTACTTGAGAGCTGAGATGGACAGAATACTAATAGATCTTTGAGTGATCTGCAATGGATAAACAAGGTTGTCTAACACCAGTAACAACTAAAAAAGGCTTTTGCACTCTTGCCTTTTAAATCCAGAGATGTATTTTTATGAAAACTATTAAAACTGAACTTGGAACCTGAGAAAGCAAGTCTTTGTAATAAACATTGCTTTTACTACATCATAGTAACAGTAATACTTAGAAAGTCTAGATCAGCGGCT